GCTTCTGCGAGAACTCTCTAATGCGATCATTCGACCAGTTCGGCCGGGTCCGGCTGACCTTTATCAATCATAGCCATATTTTTGGGGGGGCTCGGATGTTGTTGTACTATGTCTCAGATGCTGTGGTACGGTGTTCGCTTGGCTGACCCGCTTGCGCCATTCCGTCGTTTCGCCCTGTTAACAGTGGTGGGTAGAGTTCGTGTTTTTTCCCCCCCCTCCTTTTTCGGTTGATGGGGTGTCGTTGGCTGTGTAGGAGTATGTAGTTGCACGGTTGGGGGCAGTGGCGGGTTAGATGCACTGGTTTTCCTTTGGGGGATCCACATATTGATTTCGCTAACCATAGGGATGCTATTTTTTTCAGCCTTTCACAGCACTTCCAGTACTTTCGAATGCTTACTGTTTTTTTGTTTTTCCATAAGCAGCACGATGTATCTTTGCGTCTCCAAGGACAACCAGACTTGTTCCCAGATGTGAAAGTAGTGAATTGTCGAAAACACTTTCTTGATCCTGAATCGAAAACAAGATTGGTTGGCAGACCTACCATTGCCTTCTGCCCATTGCGTCGCATCCAGATGAGGGTAGAATTATTTTGTATTCTGTCCACGAAAGTTGTCTGATGCCCACTAGCCGACTGGGCAATCATCTTGAGGTTGCCTTTTGGCATTAAATACCATTTCGTCCTGGACTTGTGGTACGTACGTGCGTGCTGCTTCGAGAGGTCCAGTAACCAGCTCGTGCAGTTAGTAATTGCTACGGTTTGGGCATGCGATGGGGTCTAATCAAGTCAAACACGCAAGTGCCTACCACTGGACAGAATACGCCCCACATAAAATGCTACCCCACCTATGCTACTACAAGGTGACCTTTCACTACATTGAAGGTCGTGTTGCCCTAACCACGATGTTCACTTGCATGTTCGTTTTTCGCGCTGTTTTTTCCTCGCAGTCTTTTCTTTCCGTTCCCCCCTTGTAACCCAAAGTTGAAGAACGGGCTATCAGCCAGACTATCTCGGCTGCCTCTCTCCTCTGTCTCCTCTCTCTCCTCCTGCAACTCCCCCTTCAACCAACTTGAAGTAGAGGTAGAGAGAACACGGTTTGCTTTTGTGACACGACTCGCTCACACCTGGAAATATCTCATCAACTACAACCTTGCGCAAAAGCTCTTGGGTTTTCTCGGTAGTTCGACATGGGAATCTGTTGAATATAGTATCTACCATTTGCAAAATATAAGTCGGGCAGCAGATCATCTGCGATGTGCGCCTGCNCGCAGTCTTTTCTTTCCGTTCCCCCCTTGTAACCCAAAGTTGAAGAACGGGCTATCAGCCAGACTATCTCGGCTGCCTCTCTCCTCTGTCTCCTCTCTCTCCTCCTGCAACTCCCCCTTCAACCAACTTGAAGTAGAGGTAGAGAGAACACGGTTTGCTTTTGTGACACGACTCGCTCACACCTGGAAATATCTCATCAACTACAACCTTGCGCAAAAGCTCTTGGGTTTTCTCGGTAGTTCGACATGGGAATCTGTTGAATATAGTATCTACCATTTGCAAAATATAAGTCGGGCAGCAGATCATCTGCGATGTGCGCCTGCAAATGTAAGCAGTGGCCTACACCTGCCTAGACTATACCGTAGGTGACACAAGATACCATACCCCCTGGACCGATTTTCAAAGCTCGATTAATCCACGACGAAAAGGATGCGTGCATGAAACGACTGTTTCAGAAAGCTCTCGACAAGACGGCTTCAACGCCGCCGTTTCCGGCGCTGCCACTCTTCTGCTGTGTAAATATCGAGCTTGGAAAATCGGTCCAGGGGGTATGATATCTTGTGTCACCTACGGTACCTACATGAGCGTAGCTTCGGTCTTAACCTGAGCCGGAGATGGGTAGGTTTTCGACACGTTAAAGGATGACGTTGGGGCAAACGCTCTTCTTCAGATGTCGTATTGCTTTGTTGTTGCCTGTGGTTGGACGTCGGAAATATTTCAAGATACGGCACATGGAAGCAGCACAGAGCAGCAAGCCCAGATCTGGATGCTGATGCGGCCGTTGAGTGGCAATCGTTTTTTTTCTTGTGTGTCAACACAGTCAGCGGTTCCGGTCATCTCGAAGCTGTGCAAAGTAAGCCTAGACCTACATGCACCTAGATGCAGCTAGATATTCCACGCTCTTCGTACATGAGCAGTACACGCGAGCACGCCTTACCCAACGGTAGGCGCGCACATACAAATTGCTCAGAGCACGAGCAGGACGCGCTCTTTGTATTGATTGCTTCCGTACGGTTTCGCGGTATTCTTCTCCTTCCCTGCACACCATGAGTCTCCTGTGCGCGCAGAAACTACTCCACAGAACACACGAACAGGCAGGCTCTGCAAGTCTGCACAGCTCTGGCTCAGTCCGCAAGCAAGGTGTACCTCCAAACCGTCAACCAAGAACTGAGGCGCGCGCGCCGACAGCAGCACGGCCAGCTTTCCGAACCCTCTGGAAACCCCACCCCGAACCCCCTAAAGATCCCTTCGCACGATCGGTAATCCGACCTCTGCTGTGCCGTGTGTATCAAGTGTGTAGTAGTGCCGTGTTGTGCTTTGGCGTTTTGGTTTTCCGGGGACGCGCCTCCCGCAGCCCAGGGCACAAAGAAGCGAGGCTAAGACCACTGTTTATGGCGGCGGAATCTCAATCTTAATCTTGATTTTTGGTAGAGGGGGGGGTGTCGATTCAAGAAATATCTCGGATGTACACTTGTTATGGAGTCCAAATCTTGCCTCAATATCTTGGCAAGATTTGGAATGAAACCAAAGAGCCCCCTTTTGCCCTAATATTTCGCCAAGATTTGGGCGCTGGAAGCCTTGTCAAAATCTTGCCGAGGGGGGGGGGTCAATAGCGCCGCACCGTCGTCCCAGACCGTCCACATAATCAGCGAGTGAGTGCGACCTGAATTCTTGACGTATCGCTCTCATCAAGGGCTCCGACGAACCCTATGGTGAAGGGTTTGCTGTTCTGCTCGCTCGTTGTTGCTTGTCGGTCGGGACACGAGCGTTAAAAAAATCATTTCGCATCACACCAAACGTGGAGACTCCCAAACGTCACGAGAGGGCAACAAAGCCGAAAAAAGCCCGCGTTCTGACAGAGGCGCGACAACAGCGCAATTGATTTCTCGCTCCCTAGCCCAACGATTGACGTCAAACCGGTCAGGGTGTGCTCTCCGTTCCTTGCTCTCTCTCGGAGNTGCGCACGCCATCCGTTGAAAAAAGTTTTCAGGTGTTCAACAAGTCAGTCAGTCTATTCGCAAGTGAATAACAAGGAAGGGCGAAAAAATCAGTTCGAAAAAAAAGGAAAGTGACGCCACGCACAATTCTCTCTCCATCGATTGAGCTTGCGAGCGCCTGAGCCACGCCATTCCGAGAGAGAGAAAGGAACGGAGAGCACACCCTGACCGGTTTAGCGTCAATCGGTGGGCTAGGGAGCGAGAAATCAATTGCGCTCTGTTGTCGCGCCTCTGTCAGAACGCGGCTTTTTTTCGGCTTTTTTGCCCTCTCCTGACGTTTGGGAATCTCCACGTTTGGTGTGATGCGAATGATTTTTTTACGCTCGTGTCCCGACCGACAACCAACAACCACAACGTGTGGAACAGCAAACACTTCACCATAGGGTTCGTCGAAGATGGGAGCGATACGTCAATAACTCAGGTCGCACTCGCTGATTTTGTCTATCGAGGTGTTGTCCACAATCCCCAAGAAAGATCAAGATGATGCAGTTTTCCATACATACACACGTACATGCAATAATCTTGATCTTGGGGGGGGGTCGCTTTTATCTTGCCAAGGTTTTGAAGAATCAAGATCAAGATTTGTTTGCCATAAACAGTGGTCTAAACGAGATATGGTCCGTTCGGGCAAATAGTCACAATCAATCTTGTTTTTCGCGATATCTTTCGAAAAAAAACGATTTGGAAAGTGAAACAATTTCGGGCGTGACCGCGGCGTCGAGCTTCGTCGATATCCGATGAGTTTTTGGTGATTGGGTGAAATGCGACATTTTTGACCAAAATGACCCACGGAGCCCTCACCCCCCACCCCGTCATGACCCCACGGAGCCCCCAAAGTACACCACGACCCCCCCTCAACCCCTCCCTTCTACACGTATATGCCTTCAGAACATCAGTTAAACCGTTGTCAATCCATATTTACATTAATTATTTACACGTTACATATGTACATACATACATACATACAATAACGCCGTTTACTTTCTTGCGGGCTGCAGATCTTCTCGGCATCATGATCACTGCTGTCCGCACCAACATCTCCCACCTCAACATCCATCTCCACCGCACCTTCAGTCTCCATAATTTGAGGCGAACCATGCTGCAGCCTGCCCTTCCTGCTGCTGAGGCGGGGGCTTCAGCCATGCTGCCAAGCTCCCCGGCATCCCGGCGTCCTCCTTGCTCCACCGCGCTCGCCTGTGGCGATGCTGCGTCGACCGGTGGAGAGGTTGCACCGCGTTTTTTCGCGCAGGCGGCGCGACTTCGGGCGCCACCACCATTGCTGTGCGCTGCTGCAGACACCGCAGCGCTCGCTGCGGAGCGAACCGCAGAACCGAACGGCAGTTTCGCCTGCCCGCGACCTGGCTCGCCACCCGCATCCTCATCGCGCCAGTCGTCGTCGTGGTCGTTGGTGTGCATGGATGGGAGAAATATTGGCGCCTTCATGGTCGGAACAGGGAGGAGAGTCGTTGCCTACAGCAGGGTCCGCAGGGGGCGAAGGGGCCTTCCGAATCGTGCCGTCGGCGTTCCTTGGCAGCTTGCGCTTACCCTTTGGGCGACCCATGTGCCCGGAGCGCGTGTGCGTCTTTCGTTGCGTGCGTCAAGGGTGTGCGTGTATGTGTCCTCTGGTGTGTGTGTGGCGGGGAAAAATTCCCCGAAGGCGTGTGAAACCACCCGAAATATCTCCGAAACCCGAGTTTTTTTTTGAAATCGGAAAAAAATCATCGGTGGGAAATCACGAGAGGAATCGATTGCAGCACTTTATTTTTGAATCGTACGGTTGGATTGTCCCCAAGAAACTAAGCAAATACCCTCCAATATCCGATTTTTTGCCCATAACTCTGTTATTTTTTGTCAAATTGGAAATCGGAAAAATATCATCGGTGGCAAATCACGAGAGCTGTCCAAA